AACTCAACGTGATATTAACAGGAGCCCTCACCTTACAGCAAAGGTATAGGTCAAGCCCTAGAAGCGCACAGCTGCTTCAGTATAGGCACCAATTTCCATCTGTCCCAATATATGGAGGAACGTCAGCGTCCCGGCAGGTAACGCTGCAATAGCGTGCTCAGCCAGCCAGAACCATCAGGACGTGAAGGCTGATGGAGCCTGGTGACACACGGCACTTTCTCCCCAGAAGGCTGCCCTTACCGCCCCGCCACTGCCATCACCCGACGTTCACACCAGCTTTCCACCAAAGCTGCTTTCTGAGTCCCGTTTCGGGCAGGGACCCGGGCACCAGTTGGGAATCTGGTTTGACCGACCCAGGTTATCCAGGGACTCAAGCACAACTGGCGGTCGTGCTCCTGCAGCTTCTCCCCGGCTCATCATTGCCAAAGAGCCAAGGAAACAAGAGCAAGGTCTGGACAGGGGCAATGGGAAGATGAGGTGGGAATTTTTGGGGGGGTTTATTACTTTTTTCTTAGTTGTTCTCCCTTGAAGGAACGCACATTTCCTTCAGCTGCAGAGATTTAGGAGCAGAAACGCCCCCGGAGCTGGGCTGGAGGGCAGAGAGCAGGATGAGACCCCTCGGGGGCCATGGCGTCAGGCCCCTGCCACACCTTGCAACCGTCTCGCTTTGTATCGCAGGTGCTGGAGATGCAAACACTTTGCCAAGAGGCGTACGCTCCCATACAGCCCCCCCCGGCATCGCCACGAGCGCCGAGAGGTTGAGCCAGCTCTGCTGGACACCAGGGGATGTAAACCAGGGTGCTAGCGTGGCACCGGCGAAAGGACAGGGACCGGGCACCCTGCCAGCAGCCCCCCAGTCTCCCATCTTCAGGGATAACTCCTGATCAATCCCTCAGCTTGCAAAGGTGCCCAGCACGGTCGATCCCTTCCCCAGGAGGTCCCTGCCCCTCCGCCTGCCTGCACAAAGCGCATCGCCCGAGCGGGGAGCAGCCTGCAGTGGGGCTCACCCCAGCCTCCCTACCAACGTCTGTACGCACCCACGGCCCTGTCAGGATGGATTAATTTTATCGAAGGCAAATGCAAAAAAATTTAAAGTAATAAAAAAAAAAAAAAGCCACCCACACAAATAAAACCCACACCACCAAATATCAACCTCACCCAAATGTGCAACTTTTTTATTGCACTTTTTTTTTATGCTTCACCCCACCGAAACACAAGTGAAGAGTCATTTAATTTGTATTTGAGCAGAGACTTCACAAAATTACAGTTCAAACCTAATTATCGATGAAAATCCAAAGCTCAGAGACCTCCACCTTACTCACAAACGGAGCTTAGGCTGCGAGAGCCACGGTACCACACAACGGACTGGAAAGTCACGCTGGGTACTGGGGAGCAGGGAGAGAAGCGGGGCTGGGGAGAGGGCTCCGTGCAGGGATGGGGGAGCAGCGCTGGGCTGGGAGCTGGGCACGGGGATCGCAAGCCTGAGGGGGGGCTACATCTGCTCATATTTGCAAATAAAGATGTCCTTTGCATCAGGCTCCAGCTTGAATTACCCCTCCTAAAAATCCAATCATGGTAATAGACGTAATGATCAATAAGTACCGAGGGCAAGTACACACATCCCAATTCCCAACTCGCCAGAAACACACTCTACAGCAAAAGCAATTAGCAGAAATGAAGTTTTACTCGGGGCTCATCAAAACTGGCCTCACGTCCACTAACTCTCAGAAGAGAGCTGGGCTTTAAGACTTTTTTTTTTCCTGTGCTTATTTTGTTAGTCCGTGGGGAGGTTCGGTAGCTTTGGGTCATCCCACCCTGCCAGGCACTGGACTCAGGTCTCTAGAATTGAGCATGAAAATAAAGCAAACTGGAGATCACAGCCTAATGAAGCTATTTTACAATTTATTTAAACATCAAGTAGTAGCATCAAGAAGTCAAGTACTGCCGGGTGGCCAGCCTGGCCATTTCACCAGCCCGGTTTTCCTG